ACATTGTGCCTACCACAGTGTGACAGATACTACTACTTTCTAATTTGTCCCATAAGAAAACTGAGACTCGGAGCACTTAAATACCTTGTTAAGAAAAGCAGATCTGTCTTGCCTGTAGAACTCTGTGATCTTATACACTATATACCATACTGTCCAATGAAATAAATATTTAACAAGCAAATGCAGTATAAAAATAAGGAAGTTTACTTTCACTGTACTGACTCAGTATATTATTTATTCGCTAAGTAAGTCTAATTGAATCATTGAATTAAGAAGGAAGTATGCCTTTAGTCATTAGAATTTTGCTGTAACAATGGATTCAGATTGAGTCCAAATCCCACTTCCATCACTTACCAGTTACTAAACTGTAGTCAAGTCACTTATCAGAACACCTCAGTTCCCTAAAGTGTGAGGATAATAATACCTATCTTATTGTTTTGTTTTGAGGGCTAATTAAGACTATTATGTAAAGTATCATATGACTGTTGCTATGCAGTAGGTTCTCAGAAAATTCTAGATTGCTTTTGTTCATTCTTCCTTTTTGGGACTAGATCACGCACCTGTAGTTTTCATTTAAGCAAAATAAATTGTTTCTAAAACTAAATTTTCTTTTTTGAAGGGGATATTCCAGACAAAATTATCAGGCTGATTATTCCTGAGACTGAACAAGGAGAGTTGCCAACTCTTATGTGGAACATATTTCATAGTGAGCTAGAAACATGAACCCTTAGAAGAGTGGGGGTGGCAGTGTCCTGCTTCCTAGAGATTATGGCCAAATCATGACGTTGTCTGATTTCATGTTGTTGTCATTAGGTGTTTTTGAGTCTGCTCCAACTCAGAGACCCTGAGTACAACAGAACAAAACACTGCCCAGTCCTGCACCATCCTCACAATTCTTCTGTTCGAGCCCATTGTTGCAGCCCCTGTGTCAGTTCATCTTGTTGAGGGTCTTCCTCTTTTTCTCTGCCCCTTTACTTTACCAAGCATGCTGTCCTCCAGGGACTAGTCTTTCCTGATATCAGCCCCAAAGTACATGCAATGAAATCTTGCTATCCTCACTTGTAAGGAACATTCTGGCTGTACTTATTTCACAGCTTGACTTCTTGACACAATTTGACTAAATTTCACCATTGGTATTCTATGAGACCACGTGTATTAACAAACCCAGTCCAGCCATTTCTAGGCAAGCAAGCTGTGGCTGAGTTGAAGTGACTTGAACGAGGTCAAACTGAAAAAAGCAGACCTCAGTTCTCCCAACTTTGTACTCAGTGTCCATTCTATGGTTCCTTTGTGGGCTCTTAGCCAGGTGAAGCTAAGTCTGGAAGTATGCTCTTTGCAGAAACTTGGCCTGATTGGATGGACTCTCCTCTCAGGATTTGGCACAAGTGTGATGTATTTGGGAAAAATGAAGCTTATTTTCTCTCGTGCTTCAAATTGATCCAGTAGTCATCGTTGCTTTCAAAATGATACCATTTATATTTTGTTTTGGGTTTGGCAAATTGGTGTTGTTTCTCCCCGTTTAGGTTCATGGTTTGAAACCTTCCAGTGGGATTTTTATTTTTGACAAAGATACTATGAATCCAGGGTGGTTAATGACAGTAATTCATTTGAAGAAAATCAGTCAGGCTTGGTGAAGGGTGCTGCAAAGGAACTCAGGTGCTTTAGGGAACCATTAGTGCTTATATTCTGGAGCTTGAAATCAGGATAATGGAAACATTGCAATGGTTTTTGGCGTGCGTGTTTGTGTGCTTATTTCTGTGTGTTTTCACCAGGATGCTCTGATGCTTTCGTTTCCACTCTTGATAATCGGAGTTGAAATTCCTGTCTCCCACCTCATTGCCTTTTGGGATACTCTTTCAGTCATGTTCTGGATAGAATCCTCGTGTTTTTTTTTGGACTGTAAAAAAAGAAGCTAACAAGAAATCTTCTTTGCCACCCTTTTCCCTTTAGTTTGAATGGCCCTTCTGAGGAAATTGGGGCATATGAATTTCAAGCTGGAATTTGTGAATGAGTTCAGTAACAGTGCCCAGAGGCACACCAGCCTGATTCTGAAATACAGCCTTTGCTCCTTAGTAACCAATATGGTATTTAAATTCTCAGGTGATCTACCTTTGTTGAACCTGTATTGGGCTGCCACCTTTTTAATTGGCCAATCATGCTTCAAGGAAGGCTGTGTTCGAGGATCACAAGCTTGGGCTTTGGAGAGCTGTATCACACAACTCTGGGTTTCCTCATCCTGAAGGAAATCAAACTCTTGGGCTGCCTATACTTTTCCAAGCTCCTGGTAATTTCCTGAAGCAGCTGGAAGGCTAGGATTGCAGCTGTGGTGGTAAAGGGGGCCGCTCCCAATACCTCAGAAGGCAAGCACTTTCTTGACGAAGCCCTGATTATATATAATCCCATCAAATGTATCCTTTCCATTCTTTCCTTCCCTCTTTTACTGACTGGCTGGTAGCTAGTTACCAATCACCCAAATCTTTATGCTTCGTATTAGCCTATTGATTTAACATAGAGTTATTGATGTATATATATATATATATATATATACACACACACACATATATACACACACATACATATGTAATGTGTGTGTATATATACATTTAAATTCCCATATGTGTGTATATATGGCAATTTAAAAATATTTAAATATATACATCTATGTGCGTATATATACATATATGGCCATTTAAATAACAGCAATGATATACTAGTGACGATTGGAAAGAGTTTTCTTTCCTCTTCCAAGAAGTAGTCTGGGTCTTTGTTTGAGGACATACTAGGCACTAGAAGGGGTCAAGGGAAGCGGCTAGCTGAAATTTCTACAATAGCCCCCACCTTTATTTTGTTTGCTTCAGATTTGGCTCATGTGGATAGACACACATTCGGGTAACCACCATACAGATGGAAACCAGGACATATGGGATTTGGCTGGACCAAAGGTCCCCAAACATTGCCTGGATCATTTAGTAACCCAGGTGTAGCCACCCCAGGACTTCATGTGCTAAAATTGTGTCCCAGCTGAAGCCAGCTGGTCACTGTATATATAGTATCAAGGCAGCTTGGAGCCTCATAAAGCATGACTTTGGATTTTTTACCTTGTGGATTTAGATTTTGCTAATCAGCCTGAGTCTGTTTCCACACACTGAACAGATTTATAGATTTAACAAAATGAGATGCTCATTGTCCAGTAAATTTACAATCTAAGCTAGATGGGACATATTATTAGGCCACACACACAAAACAATAGAATGATTTTCCAGAAATGAAAGAAGGAATTAGAGGGCCTTAATAAGCTTTTAGATAGACCAGGTTTTAAAATTTTTCTTTTCAAATATTTACTCCTTGTGGCTTTTTAGGAGCAGTGATCCCTTTTAATTTTAAAATATGGGAATTGAAGCATGTTTCATGAAATAATATTGATCCTTTTAATTTTCCACATGAGGTAGAGGTGCCTTGCTTCAGTCACTCAAGCACGATTTGTTCTAGTGAAGTATGCTAGTAATGATAATGCTAGGTGGCCTTGAGTCAGTTCTGAATCATAGCAACCTTATGTATAACAGAAGGAAGTGTGACATCCTCACAATTCTTTCTATGTTTGAGCCCATGGTTACAGTTGCTGTGCCAAGCCATCTCATTGGGAGTCTTCTTTTTCATTGATCCTCTACTTTACCGCAATAATAGTAATTCGATACAATCGTTTAACCCTTTATAGTTTATAAAAGATTTTCATATTCATTAGATCATTGACTCTCCATAGCAGTCCTGTGGAGCAGTCAGGTTTGGTAGTATTCACTTCAGTTTATAAATATGGGAAATAAAGTTCAGAGAAGTTGAGTAACCCATCCAGGATCACACAGCTACAAAATTGTGGACCTGGAAGTTAAACCAAGGTTTCTTGAGACCCAGCCCTAGTACTTTTTCAGTTCTATCGTGTTTCCTGCTTAGAACACTTTCTCCTTTTCACTCCTGCTCATGATTGATTTTGAACTAGTGCTTCAGGTTAGCAGATGAGTGCCTTCTTTAAGGGCACCTATCGAGCGAGTCCAGCACTCGGCTTTTAGCTTTTCACCTTGACTTTAATGGAACTGTATTTAGGTAGACATAGGTTTTACTCTCTGTTAAATATATGCACAAAAGTTTTGTGATCCGCTGATTAAAGGTATGAAAACTGCACCTGGGGAATGGGACTACAGATGAAAAGTTGGCTTAAAATAATTAGCTTCTTGCTTTTGTGTTAAGAGATGTCATGTTCAATAGAATTTCATTTCTTTCTACTTCCTTTGCTTCCAGCCTTTTAAATATAATTCTTTAGGGAAAATTAGCAAATATTCGTTTTCAATGTTGGTTTCTCAGGAACAAGGGTAGCTGGGAGGAAAGAGAAAAGTGGAGAGGTGATTTTGTGTGCTTTCTAAGTGTGGGCAAGCATTATTTTGTTTGGGGCTGCGAGAGCTAGATTTTCTTCTAAGGCATGCAAATCGTAAAGTTCTGATTTGTCAATTGCACGCTGTTTCTTTAGGCACTGATGTATGAAATCCCTTACGAATTCTCAGATGAACATACTGCTAATTGCTTCTCCACCTGCTCTCCAACCTCCTCCACCCCACCCCCTCCACTCCCAATTCAGCCTATAAGTGTCCGTCATTGGAGATGGATGGTGACACATGCAGTAACAGCAATTCATAAAAGCCAGTTCCAGCCCTTGTCTTCAAGGCTTCTGGATTTTCCACTGCCTGCTTTTGTGTAAGTGAAGTGGATGGAAGTGCTACTGGCATCAGAATCCACCTTCCTATGCTCCGTTGCTGGCGCTCAATTGCTCGGCTGGAGCTGAACTGAACAGAAGCATCGGATCTGAGCTGAATCGTAGCTGGGTCGTCCCCCCCCACTACCTCCTGAGTGAGGGGGCAGGCTATGGGTAGTGTGTTGTGGGGGTTTGGGTGCTTTGGATTTTCTTTTGTTGGGGAGAAGAAAGTAAAGGGAGAATAAATCATAATAGGATACAACGTGGAACAGTTCCCTGAAGAGTGTCACAATGTTCCTGGTACAATATACAGGTATAGTATGCTTTATATTATCTAAGGTTTCCTTTTTGTTTCAAAGTGTATTTCTCTCTTCTATTTTTTCCTCTAGTTCAACTGTACTGAAGGACAAATAGTGTTTTAATGAGCTAAACAAAGTAGCTGCATAAGCCATGCCGGTCCCTAGTTATAATGTTTGTAGCAGATTGCTGTATGAAATCTGGGGCTTATGGCAAATTGGTAGTCCTGATCCTTTAATTGTGCGTGCTTCTCTGCTGTATTCCTGTATTGAATTTCTCAAGTCTTATGTCTGCAACTGGTAGTGTGTGATATAGCCTAGAGTGTTTACAGAGTAGAATCAGTGCTATGGAAGCACAAAGCAATTTCTAAACACTTAGAATATTATGTTGTTCTTGAGTTTATTAGCTCCACTATTTGTTAATTGACTGTCTGTATTGGGGGTATAGTTTAAAGAAAGTTCAAATAGGAAGTACTCCGGAACTTGTCTGTTGGGCACATTTATTTTTATTTCATTATTGAACTCAGGTTGGTGAACATTTTACGTTATTGATGCTTATTCTCCTGGATGAAAAAGTGCTGGGAACAGTAGGGCTAAACACTGTCAGCTCCAAACCATCTGTATCATAAAATATCATTGGAACAGAAGTGCTCTGAAGTATTCTCTGGAGCTTTCAGGAATATATTGGTCCAGAACAATGTAGAATTTGAAGGATCAGATCAGGTGTTGGTGAATGTTATTTGAAAGGCTTCTTACTTCAGTAGTTACAAAGACGGAAAGGACCCTTCCAAATGAAAAACCCTAAGAAAGTTTCACTTTCTTGCGCAACAGAACAGAAGCTTAGTTTGTACAACTGCATGTTTTGATAAATTTGAATATCATTTATTGTTAAGAACTTTCATCTCCAGTCTCACTTTATTGTCCTTAAAACATCATGCACGTGTGCTTAAGAGCTGTAAGATCATGTTTTGTTTTAATGCGTGGTTTGACAGTTGATTTTGCTGGTTTAATTGGACAGCCTGCAAATGATGGGGAGAAGTGAGTGACAAATTTCAAGGTTACACTAAGGAGCATACTGTGAACCTTAATGTCTGGACCAACAGCTGCTGAATTGAATTGTCTGCAATTAAAGCAACAGCAGGTTTGTGTAGTCTCCCTGCAGTCCAGTTATTTGAATTTATAGCTTCAGTTTCTTCTTTAGCTATCGGTTGGCTTGTTTTGCTAAGTGTTGGAGAGTTGTGGCTGCTGGATAGCTTTTTTTCCCACACTCCAATGCATGCTTGGCTCCAGGAAAGCCATCTCTGTACATTTGAATGTGAGCTGTTGAGGTTATTCTCTTTTGGTTAAAATCAGAGAATGTGTCTTTTTCTCCATTACAAGAGTACATAGATAGATTCTATGGAAAACAGTGCTTTGTGCAATAAATAGAGGCTTCTCATGGACTTGTGTTACTGGCTTAGGTTTTGGGCAATGAAAAATATTGATCTTTGTTATATAGTAATTCCATACTGTATTTGAGAAGAACTTCTCTAAAATAAGTGTTTGTTTTAGGAAATGGTGGATTTTTCCCCTTGTGACTAATTTTATTTGTATCTAGTAATGAGTACATGTTTAATTCCTTCCTAGTTTTACTCAATTAGAAGACAGCTTTTAATTGCAATGTAGTTGTTGTGTGTTGGTTCATAGTAGATGTGTGCGGTAGGAAACATTTACACTATGATTTAACATAAACGTGTCAGTGCTTCCTCATTACAACCCTGTATGTAGTCAGGGGCATTATGGTTTCTCCATTTAATAGATAAAAATAACTGAGATTGAGAGAAGTTAAATGATGACCTAGGATCTCACATCTAATAAATGGCAGTGCCCAAACTGTTAGGGTTCTTGACTCAAGAATCTCCATTTTCCCTTCTGAAATGATGCATCCAGGATCAATTTGACTTAAGCTACCGATCAAGAAGAGTGTATTCAGTCAATTACTAAAAATAAAAATAAGTTAGGGTTAGGGTTAAAAAAATAAAATTAAAATAAAAGTAAGTTATTTGTTGGCTTTCATGAGTTTTTAAAGACTATTTTAGTCCAGCATCTATTTTAATAAGTGATTGAGTTTCTAATGAATTCTACAGATATACAGAAAACACTGGAATTTGTATGATGAACTAAAGTTGAGTCTTATGACAATAGACGAGGGAAAATATTGTCCAGTTAGTATGTTAGTATGTATTGTTTCCACCTAAAACAAGCTAGTTATTTTAAATATCCGCTCAATAGATTTGTAAGATTATTGCCATAAAAACATGTGTCTTTAAAAAATTTCCTGGTCATGATGCAAAGTGTTAGATATTCTTAAAATTAGAATATTTTATTTAAATCATTGGGAAAATATACAGTGTTGGTTTATGCAGTCAACTTAGTTTCTTATTTTCCTATCATATATACAGTGAACCCTCGCCACTTCGTGCTTCGACTTCCGCGGCTTCACTCTATCGCGGTTTTTGCGTAACAGCACCCACTGCCTACACCCGCTCCTTCAGAGGAAAAAGACGGCGACCCACCTGTAGAGTACATCCCTTAAGTCATTTCATAGGCTACTGATTACAGTATTTGTAAGAACTATGTATAATAATACTGTATGTGAAATATGTAATACTGTAAACTAGATGCCATAAATAATATAATAAATAATAAATGATAATTGTAACGTCCAAAATGTTTTACTGTATTTTCCCTTTTTCGTTTAATAAATTGGGTAATACGAGTGTAATGGTGACTAAAGGGTGTTTTTTCATGTCCTCTATGCTCTAACAACGAAAATATTTGATTTACAAATAAGGAATCCTACTTCGCGGAATTTAATTTATCACGGTAGGGCCTAGAACCGATTAACCGCGATAAACGAGGGTTCACTGTATATATATATATATATATATATGAAGCTGATTAACTTTCCTGTCCTTTAAAATCTTCAAGTGATTTCTCAATCTTAACTCTATTAATTTTAAAGAAAAAACTATGCATTATATCCTACTGAACAAGAAGATAAAATGTCTATTCCTGTTTCAAGCTACACTTCTGGTCAAACTTCCTTCAGAACCTATTCAGGAAACATCTTTTTGAGTGGGGTAATTTTAACACCTGAGTTATTAGACTGCCCCATGTCTTCGGGAAATGACTAGATGTTGACACCATAGACAATGCTTCTTCCGCATGTAACTGTGAATATTTGAGAATATTGTCAAGAAAAGGAGCTAAGTCAAAGCATTGTCATGACCTGTTCAGACTTTTGAAAAGATGGTGATGGACATAGTGTCTCAAATACCATGTTATTGGACTTTATCATTATTTAAGATGCTATGTTTATATTTGAGTGTATCTTAAAGTAAAGCTACCCATATGTTCTTCTAACAAAAGAAAAAAAAAAGGAAGGATGGTAGAAAATGTTTCCATCCTTTTAAAAACTTCATTACAATTTAACACATAAATGCTACAGGAGGGAACTTGGGAGGGGGGGTAGATAGGGTTAACGGGAGAAAAAGTGGGCCAAAACCGAGTACGTGATTGCAAGGTCTATGTTAAACTTCATTTCAGGCGGCAAGTTTCCAATGCAATTGGAATCATTGCCCACACTCTTTACCTCATTCCATTTTCTGGGAATGAGCACACTGAATATACGTGAAAAAGAGCTTTTGGGGACTTTAAAAAAAATGATAAATTTCTAATTGGTTAAAGAAAAGTCTAAAATCTGTAAAAAAATTCAGGTTTTTGTTCTCTGATGTTTCAAGCCAAGAGAAATTAGAGAGGGAACGGATTAATTACCCCATTCTGTTTGTTCAGGGAGCTAAAGTTGGATTGTGTTCCTAAGTTTTCCCTTCAGTATGCCTCTGAGTATTTTTAGGGGAGTAAGGACTGGTTCATGGATGGAGCATGAAGGTTAGCTAGTGATGTGCTTGCTTGCACTTAGTTAGATTTACCCAGAATATTTATACGTTTAAAATCTTTTGCAAATCTTCCTTTTCCTAGGAAAGACTTAAGTTACTTATGAATAATAGTTAAGGCATGCTATCTGCGCATCTGTATAGTGCTAATGCTCCTTGGCCTATTAAACTATATTGATTGACATCCCTTATAGATATAATATTGACTCCTTTAAAGGTTATTGAGCATAGTTGTGTGCTCTGCCCCGCCCCCATACACACAATAGTAGGGATAACTAACGTTTATTGAATGCTTACTATGTGCCAAAATTTATTATAAATACCTTATATACAACAGGGCCTCCAAAAGTTTGTGGGGAAATTCCACGATCTTTTCATTCTATTTTTGAAGGACACTTGTATATGATTTCATCAGCCTTCGCAGTACTTCTATGAGGCAAAATCAAAAATGCCAAACTCAGTTCTATGGAATTGATTACAACCCTACAGTACATAGCAACCCCACAGTATAGAGTAGAATATCCTCATGGGTTTCGGAGATTATAAGTCATTACAGGAATTGAAAGCCTCATTTTCCTCTCATGGAGTGGCTGGTAGATTTGAACTGCTGACCCTGTGGTTAGCTTCCCCTACACATAATCCATTATACCACTAGGGCTTCCCCTGTAAGGTAGCCAATATTAATGTTTCCATTTTAGGGGTAGAAAAATTGCGACACAAAGTTTAAGTAACCTGGCTACCAGGTCATACAATTAGTAAGTGGTAGACTCTAGGTTTGATTACAGGAAGTGTATCTATAGCCCCCATTCTTAACCATTATGTACTGTGCTCTGTATCTTTTAAGGATACTGCAGTGAGAATTTGATTTGCCTGCTAGTGTGTCCCCCCAGAGAAAACATCCCATTGTCTCTGCCTTCAGAAGACAGACAACTGCTGAGCATTTGTACTTTATTCTGATGGTCAGCACTGGTATGAGTCTCTCTTGCCCAAGGCCTAGGGGATCATTGCCTCCCCAGCAGCTTCTAAACACTACCACTACTCATGTTATTTCTTAAGGATTTTAGTTTTTAAAAAATCTCTCT